TCAGATTTTTTCAACAACTAAAAGACATGATGCGTAAACATTTCAACAGGGAAAAAACTTTTTGAGTAATGCAAACAAAAACCTACTTAATGGGTTGAGCGAGGAGTTTTTCAACTTGGGCTATGTATTTAGTTAGATCCAGTGCACGTTCCATTTTTTGTACACGCGCAGATAGAGCAGCGACATCTCTGAAAAGTATAATTGCAGAAAATGAGCTTCGACAACGTAAATAATGTTCAAAAAGGGCAAAAAATGCTTAAGTATAGGAAAAAGAGGAAATGGTTACTTTGGATGTGCTGCAAAACTGATAACTGAGTTAAAGACCCTGTTTCAACAATCAAAGCTCCTGTTTGAGTACGAAAAAAATGAGTAGCTATATCAGAAACAATAGCCAGCGTACCGTTTATCGTGTGTCCTAGCGACGATTCCTGGGCATGACAAAGACGAAGACGATGAAGGCGCATAATCATAAGCTCCTGGCTGCGACATAGCTTTAACCATCTGCATAAAATGCGTTCCAGAAATGAATTCGCGAATTCGATAGACGATAACTAATAACGAAGACAATACATAAATAAGATAGTGATGAAAAATACGACCAGCTACTCAGTTAAAAAAAAGGTATATGAGAACTTTAGATACCAAAAGACTTCAAAATCAAAACCCAAAAGACTCAACTTTTTAGAAAAAGAGCTAATGATGAGATTGATTCAAAGACAAAATCTCATTATTAGCTCTTTTAAGCAATTAAAATAATTGAACAACAACAAAGAAGGAATAAAATAGGGAAGATTATCCAGTAAAGCTGCAAAACGAGGAAAAAGGATCATTAACACTTTAATTCTTTGAAAGATAATGAAAAGGTTATAGAAACCAAACCGACGTGAGATGATTTGGCCATGTGAAATGACCGCTGACCAGACGTTTGGTAAATGATATTAGACGTGAGTACAGATTGTGCGCAATGTTGCGCTCCAATTTGAAATTTTTGTATAGCTGGCTTTTATGGTACATTCTTTTGTCATTATATTGGAGATCTGCTCACTTACTTATTTCTTAACAATTTTTCACGTTGCATGATTGAAAAATTTTGAGGATTTGCGCGTACACGTAAATCTATTTTACAACTTTTCAAATTCATTTGCATTGCCTGCAAAGTCAATATGATGTTAATTCTTTGAGTGTATTGATTTCAGTAGCGCCGTAACATTTATTCTCGATTGATTTCCTTTCTAGCAGCTGACGAGCACTATTTTAGGCCTATGTGCCAAGAAAACACGCTTTCGGTGCTCATTACACTTTTCTTCCAATTTTGCCCAAATGACAATTATGTTTCTTTTCGGGTTGGTCTTTGTCAAAAATGAAAGTGCATGTTGGGGCTGT